ATATATATATATATATATATATATATATATTCATGTTTTCTATTATTACACAATTAAATAACGATATTAAAATAGTTACACCCATATTAAAAAATAAAAGTCATATATATTATTATTATAAAGAGAGTTTGCTATCAAGTATTCAAAATAAAACTAGGAAAAGTTTTACAACTTTGTTTTAACCATGAGTATGTTAAATATGAGAATCCATGAAACTATAAGTAATATAATTTGCCAAATCTATAGAAGTGTAAAGTCTAAATTTAAATGTAAATAAATAGACAAAAGCTAAAAAATATAAAGAAAAWTTGAAAAAAGTCACGCTTTATAAAAAATGCATGTTACGGCGTACTATGTTGTATTGGAAATTAAAATATTCACTTCATTCTAATCCATAATTCTCTCATCAGATTGCTCCCCTATTTTCGTCCTTCTATTTTCTTCCTTTTTAACCATTGTTTTGGTCTACTTATTTCTCCCCTATGTATTGCATTTTATTATTGATCAAGAGAACACAAAACCTTGAGCCATCAATAATTCACGACTTATATATTCATGCTTCGGATTATCCGAAACARATGCACGTCAACGATCTTCTAAACGACCACAATTACAYCGATTGGTCACAAGAAATGATGARTTTTCTGTTTACCAAAAACAAGGTGGAATTCATTGATKGATCCCTCAAGAAACCAGAAAAAACTTCTCCCAACTACATGCCTTGGATGCGTTGTGACGCCATGTTAAAGGATGGCTCACAACGACCATGGAGAAGGAAATAAGAAGTAGTGTGAAATACATGGGTACCGCTCGAGAAATCAGGGCTGACATCGTTGAAAGAATCAGAAAAGAAAGTGCGCCTAGGGCTTTCAAGTTGAAGCATGCTATCGCGACTACACAACAATCCAGAGCGTCCGTTTCTGCATATCACACGAAACTCGAGGGGCTTTGGGATGAAATAGGCTTGGTAATGCACACACCGCAATGCACCTGTAATGAGTATAGTTGYGATCTTGGAAAAAGGATGAATGAATCCAAGGAGAAAGAGAGACTTTATGAATTTGTCATGGGTTTAGACAATGAATGTACAGTGATCAAAATGCAGATCCTTGCCACAAAACCTATCTCTAGCTTGAGCAGCGCTTACCATCTKGTGGCAGAGGATGARAGCAAAGGACCATATCACATGACAAAAGACCTACAACCGAAGTCGCTGCCTTTAAGGATTTTACTCCATGTYGTAGAGATGGTGTTGGAGGCCGTGAAGCTCAGAAGCGTGAYAAGGGTACTAYCAATGACCCAAAACGCAATGATGTAATCGAACACTGCACCTTTTGTGGGAAGGACGGACACAACAAAGAGGGTTGTTTCAAGAAGATCAACTATCCCGAATGGTGGCMAGGTAATAAAAATACCCTTGTGGCCACGGAGGTTCAAATGCGGTGACTCCGGGCTATCTGCGAAGTAGGTGGTCGCCCTGGGCTTAGTCGGCTCGCATAGCGGGTTGGATATCCAGGTTAATAAAAAAAAGGTTGACTACATCGAAGCAGGTTCAAGTGCGATTTCTGGACTCACAAAGGAACAATACCAGACATTGTTACAGACCTTCGCTGGAGAGAACAACAAAAATAGGGATGACGCACCACGTAAGGCTAACTACGAAGGTAAAAAAGGAGGGGACGATGAATGGGTGGACTTGGGAGCCATCGAACACATTGTTGCAACCCAGATACTCTTAATTTACAGTAAAACACAATTTATAAATAATAGGAATGAAAATAAACAGTGTACCACGAATGATTAATCGAAATATTCAAAGTATAAATAAGAATAATGAAAAGACTTGAATATGTCGAATGCTTTTATTGATGAATGTAAAGAACAATCAAAAATCGTAATCTCACAATAATTCTGTATAGTATAAGTCGGCTCTCTCAGGTTATCTGAACCTGAGGAGGAAGCCTCCTTATATACGCTTAGGTCTAACAACTTTGCTATAAATAGGCTTGAAACTCTGAGTTGACTAGTCTGCATCCTTATCTTTGATTTCACTTGAAAAGCGGAGCAGACTTGGTCAAGCCGCCTCAAATCTGTTAGACGCTTGGGAGAAATTCTGGGCTAGCACGCACGTTCCATGGAGAGAGTGGCCAGAAGCTCTGCTTGTAACATACATAAGCTCTGCATGTACTATGCAGAGGCTCTAGGTCTTGGAGTTGTAGCTTTGTGTCAAACGCTTATGCTTTTTGGCGCATAAGGCTTGATCGTCCATGGGGATAGAGCGTGGGCTATGTATGAAGGGAACCTTCACTCTTGATAAGAGCTCTGGTTCTTGGTCCTCTTCATGAGAGCTCTCAGTCCAGACCGCTTTAATATATTAAGTCCTATTTGATTAGAGTAAGAGACTTCTTACTTACACTTTCATAGGTTGGGGTCTAACAATCTGCCCCTAAGTGTAAATAAGGCAGACTCTTACTTGAATTACAAAACAGAAAGTGTAATCGAAGCCAGATGTTAAAACAACCTCTGTTTTACAATAATTATCTAAAAAAGTACAATACGATTTGAATGGAAATTACATTGACTTAAAGATAGAAAAAAAATTACAAAAGATAAGGTCTAAAGGTTTTGAAGTCTGATGAACTTCCAAAGAAATTCACGAAACTCTAAGATGTTGCGAATTGACCTTAAGATGATTTTCGCTCACTCCTTTGCTCCTGGGGAGTTGTCTCTGTTTCTGACTAGATTATCTCTGATGTAGCATAGGGTAGAGCTTGAATACTTGTAGTTCTGGTTATCTCGAAAAAAGATCTTCCTTTGTTGTGCATTTCGAAATACCACTCCCATTCTGGTTCCACCAATACAGTCCAAGAGGGGATACTATTGATGCCCTGCAGATCTTCATTTGGTGCAGCGACAATCAATTGATCCACTCCCAGATCTAGAGCTAGTTGAAAATCAAACTTGCATCTGAAGTCAAGAATGTCTGTCATCGTTTGTCTTATAGCAGAGTTGGCCACAACATATTTGAGCCCCTTATCCTTCTTGTGGTATGTGAATTAATACAGAGATAGAAGATCCCACGGATTCAGATTTATAAGGTCACAATCTGTGAACCTGCAGATTTGTCCATGAGACCTCTCCACTGTATACTCATGTAAAATGATCTGGTTATGCACGAAGGTACGCTTCTTGATGTCGAGGACTTGTTTGATTCCATGGACGAAGTGGACTACGGTGATCGGCTGTCTGTAGCGATTTAGGAACCTCTGCCTGATATTCTTTTGGACCATTGGATGAAGACTGATCTTTTGGACCGATGTCTCTTCTCGCATGTCGTAGAGAAATTGGTAGATGTCCTCGCTGTCTGCTTTGTCCTTTATTGGCTTGTCAAGGTGTAGGCGTAAACATGGCGTCCATGCTTTCCTTGATCCTTTGAACGCGATCAGAGGGATGCTTTCTTTTTGTCTTACTGCTTGCGCCTTCTTCTTCTGCTCTGGTTGGTCTAACAGGGACCCTCTACCTCATAGCAGGAGTGACTACTCTGGTCCCTTGAGCAGGGACCCTAGCTTTGTGTGTATTCTGTTGTGGTGGAGGAGCAACAATTTTAACGTTTTCAAGAGGTATGACAACAGGAATGAACAGGAGTGTTGGATCTGCCACATTCACTACTACCACCTCTTCTTCTTGTCCTCTTGTTGGAGGAGCTGTGTCCATGGCATATTCGGTTGAGGAAGACAGAGCCAGTTCTGAATCAGATGTGTCGTAGACGAATAGAAGATCAATCACGTCTTTTTTCTTTTGTTGCACAGCTGGCTCTGTTTAGGTTGCCATGGGCATCTTCCCTTTCGGAGTGCCTCTGCTTGTTCTGGCGCTGGTTGACTCTGTGCTCTCTGCCTCGAAGAATCTTGCTCTGGTTGGTGTGGGGCAGAGGCAGTTGGTGCAGAAGGGGCAGCCGTATGTGTAACGCTTGGAATGGCTGTTGAATGCTTCTCCCCCTCATAACGATTTTGAGGACCAGACAGGTCTGGGTCCTCATCATCGTCAAGTCTTCTTCTTTTGGACGCCTCTACACACGGAGACGCGTCCATTCTTTGTTTTGGTCTCTGCTCCTTTGCTTGAGGCATGAACTTGAGTTTTGCCTCATACAGTTTGAGGAGATCTTCTATTGCGTCTCCAACTCGTCGAATCTTAAAGTCAGAGCGGTAGTTGAAGCCAGCCAGAGAATGCTTTATTGACTCTGCTGCTTCTGTGGCTTTGCTGTTGAACTCGGAAGTAAAAGTTGCCACCTTCTGTAGAAGTCTGTCAACCAGAGCATTCATTGCGCCCTGAGTGACATAATCGACAGGTACGTTGAGAGGGATCATCCCTCTCATTTGCAGGGTCACTGCATTTTACGTGAGAAGTAGACGCATCATCCCTCTGCATGGATGCTATGACCCTTTCCAGGGCCTCTGTATTTCGTGCCGTCAATTCCTATAGGGTATCGAGACGAGAGGCATTCATCAAATATTCAGCCCTCAATACTGCTGAGGATGCTAGTATCTCATCCAGAGCAGATGCAGAAGGGGACGGCTCTACATGGGCCATGATGAGTTTTAGCTCTTCCAAGGAGCACAACAAAGAGGTGGCAAGGGATTGGAACTCTTCCCTTGTGACTTAGGCTATTTGTGTAACCTATGGCTCAACACATGGGACAGATTCAGTCCTTGTTTCAAGGACACCTTCTTGCTAGACTTGTTTGATGTTGGTCAGGGAAGGATTTCCAGCAGATCCTCGTGGTTCTCCTTGAAAAGAATCCACTACTGCTGTTGACAGCCAGCCAGATGACTCTCCATGAGTGGATAAGAAGGTTGGTCGAGAACCTCCATGTCTTGTGCACCTAATCCTTGCTCTGAACAAGGTGGGGAGGAAACGAATTCCTCTGTGGGGGATAGTGGTGTGATATGGGGAGACATATCACTTATTCTTTCAAAGGTTGCACCCTTTGAGAGGGTATTCCCTAAGGTGCGGCTTCCCTTTGGCTGTCATAACCAGAGGCAGATGTGACCTCTGGTTGGTTTGGCTGGTGAAGGTTCAAGGTGTGCACCTCTGTTTCAATGACCTCCGTGTCTTGACCACCGGAGTCAGATGATTTGTTTGCACTGGGAGTTGGGGTGGTGAAATGTATGTGCCTATTTACCTTAGGCTGCTCTTGCTCGCCCTGAGGCAGAGTAGCTGCTGCACCTCCTCCCTCTTCTCCTTTTTCTTCTTCCTCTTCACTCTCTTCATCTTCCTCCTCACTCTCCTCACTTGAAGTATAAGACCTACAAGCATCATCAAAGTGCTCTTGGTCATCCTCTTGGTTAGAACTAGAGGATTGTTCCAAGCCTAGATTAGCTTCTTCCTCTGCTCTGAGTCTGGCCTCTTCTTTTTGGCGAGCAATCTCTTCCTGTCGAGCTCTCTCGGCTCGCTCTTCCTCTTCTCGTACATGAGCAAATTCGGCCAATCTGGCTTGCTCTGCTGGATCTTCCTCTTCCTTTTTCTTTCTCTCCCTCTCCACCCTTTTTTTCTTTGCTTCCTGTTTCTTTGTTTCTCTCTCTCTCTTTCTCCATCCTTATCGCCTCTTCCTCTGCCTGAGGCCTTAAAGTGTCCTCTGTTCTCTCTTCCTATTCGGCTACTCCTATGCATGCCGAGGTTCGAGGCACTGGTTCTAGTGCCTCGCATGCACGCACGTCTGTACGCTCTCCTTACCTCCCTCGTCTTCATATACGCAAAGAGCTTCTTTAGGATAGGTCGCACTGACGCGTAGCCCTCTTTGTTGATGGTTGGCTTGTAGTGAGTGAGCGCGTTCACCTTGTGCGTGGGCATACGACCCACATCTATGTTGTTGTCGTCAAGAACAGGCCTTAGGAGAAGACCCAAGAAGCGGGGAAACAACAGAGATGGCAATTCCTTTCCTTTGGCCACCTCTTGACATTTCTTGGCAGCGACAGCCTTGAACTCTGTGTAGAGTATCAAGGAGTAATCCAGGGACAGATCAAAGACGATGCCATACATAATTTAAAGAATGTTCGTGGAGCACATGTTTAAGCTCCCAATCTTCCCAGTCAGTGATCTGTTAACCAATGTGAACAGTGTGTTCCACATTGGAGGTAGGTATTGACGACGGTACTGAGATGGATACTGAATAGCTTTTTTGTACCCCAAAAATTTTAAATAAACAATGATCTCATCCCCAGATGGGAGAGGGGCGTACTCATCAAGCCCTAGGTCCGTTTTTGTAGGGATTTCAAGAACGCGGGAAAACACGGACCTGGATATACGAACAGTGAAGAACTC